GTCTTGCCGGCACAGGGGTTTAACCCACTGTGCTACCGGGGGCTCCAGTGGTTAGCTGTCCCTGGTTATTTTTTGTCTGGAGTTCCCCTATGTTTGAATGTTGTTCTTTACTGTTTGGAACTGTTTTCACAACCAGGCGTTTAGGCAAGACTGGGACAGCTGTGCAGTGAGGGTCTATCCACCGATTATATAATCCATGCCTGACAGTGAGACCCAAAAAGGTGTCAGTGAGACCGAGCTCCTCCCGTAGCGGCTTCCGAAAAGGGAGAAGCGCACTTCTCTCTCTGTCCTTCCCTGGAGGCCTCTTCTGACTCAAAAATCCCACAAAGCAGCTGCCTGTAGCTTTCCATCTTTCAGAAGCGATCAGGTTGAGCATGAGGAAAGAGTCTCTGAATCAGCGTGGTGCCATCAACTGCTGTTTTTGTGCGTGTGGAAGGAAAGCGATCTCTCATTGAATGTCACACCAAATCATATAATTGTCAGATGGGTTGCCAGCTCTGGATCAGGCCTGTCAGCGCTCATCATTTTCAGAAAAAGGGATATCTCATTCTCCTTCCCTTTTCACTGGCAAACTTTGAAGGGGACTCAGAGTCAGAAGTGCCTGCTCATTCATTCTCTTTGCAAGGGAAGTCTGAATCATACGTGCTATTTTGAGTGGCCGTGTTCAAAACGACACCATAAATAAGGACTGCCTTGCGTGCTCATATATCTTAGTGCAGGGCCATGTCTGCTGGAGTCTTCCTTCCCTTGCGTGACCTCTGTGCTGACAGCCGGTCCACGGGGCCGTGCTAAGAGAGACCTCTTCTAGATTATATCTTTGGAACATTCTGCAGTCAGCACAGTGGAATATCTATTTTATTTTAGCACATGTTTAGCTTACCTGTAATATTTATCTAAAGTCAATTCCGATTTTCACAGAAAAAAAATGTTGAAAACTTTTTGAAACTTCCGAGACTTCCGAATCCTTCCTTAATGGGTTGAAAGTGATATTTCCTGTTTCATTGGGTGGTCTTTACTTTGAAAGCATATTGGGGGAGCACAGGGAGGAAATTCATCTTTCTCTGGTTTGAAATGGCTTCTCTGGCTTGAGACAGAAGCGGGGGGGGAGAGGAAAGGGAGGAAATTCATCCACTCTGGTTTAAAATGGCTTCCCAGGCTTGAGACACAAGCAGGGGAGAGGAAAGGGAGGAAATCATCCACTTTGGTTTAAAATGGCTTCTCTGGCTTGAGCTGAGGTAGGGACCAGAAGTGGGGGAAAGCTGAATAATTTTCGAATCACTTACTGCTTCGTAACAGAAATGGCCGAAAAAGCTTCGGAAAGGAAAAGGGACTTCCGGTTTCCTTAAAAACTTTGAAATTGCTTCAAAAAGCAAATTTTTCCAAATTTATTCCGAATTATGAAGATTCTGACTGAACCTAACCATGCCTAGTAAATACCCACTAGTACTCATGCAAGGCAATTAGATTTCTCATCTGTTAGACTGATGTACCTAGATATCTCTTTGAACTGTTAGGGACAAAGATATGCAAATGCACACACACACACATACATATATTGTGTGTTTGTGTGTGTGTGTGTGTGTGTACATAGGTAAAGGTAAAGGTAGTCCCCTGACATTAAGTCCAGTCATGTCTGACTCTGGGGTGTGGTGCTCATCTCCATTTCTAAGCCGAAGAGCCAGCGTTGTCCGCAGACACCTCCAAGGTCATGTGGCCGGCATGACTGCATGGAGCGCCGTTACCTTCCCGCCGGAGCGGTACCTATTGATCTACTCACATTTGCATGTTTTCGAACTGCTAGGTTGGCAGAAGCTAGGGCTGACAGCGGAAGCTCACGCCGCTCCCCGGAATCGAACCTGCAACCTTTCCATCAACAAGCTCACAGACAGACAGACAGACAGCAGAGTTTCAGGAGTGTTATTTCCATTGCCCAAAAAACACCTACTCTCCTTTAAAACATCTTGGTTTAAATCATGCTCTCGAAAGAGCAAAAATGAAGTAGTCTTTGTTAAAATAACACAGCTGTTTTACTCACAGACTTCATGTATTCAGCATACAGGTACATTGCATATCAATCCAGTTACAGATAGGATTTGAAGTAGTTTCTCTGTGTAGATAACACAGGGCATCATTCTTACAATCAACAGTCCAAAGCATCTCTCTGGCCTGAGAGTCTGATAGAGGCCCTTCCGCACAGCCATATAACCCAGAATATCGAAGCAGACAATCCCGCAATATCTGCTTTGAACTGAGTTATCTGAGTCCACACTGCCATATATTCCAGTTCAAAGCCGAAAATGTGGGAAGGGGCCAGAGTCTCTAAAGCATTCCCATTCTACATACTTCTAAAAGCATACTGTTTTTACTACTTTCTAAACGCATACTGTTCCTACTGTTTCTAAAAAATGGAGTCTGAGCTGAATAGTCTCAGATCTGGTCACATGGTCTGCAGCCCCTCCCACAACATAGAGTTAAGGAAAACTGCATACCAATACACAAATATACAATACGGTAAGCAATCTGAATTATATACCAACAAAGTACTAGTGGAGGCTTGAAGAAAGTTGCTATTTCCAACCGTTGTGCCTGGAACTAATCTACCTCTTTGTTTTCAGTTACACAAACACACATTCTGATACACATAGCTTTCTGAATTATAGCTTATGCTTTATATTTGTTGTTCATTCATTCAGTCGTCTCCGACTCTTCATGACCTCATGGACCAGCCCACGCCAGAGCTCCCTGTCGGCCGTCACCACCCCCAGGGTCTCCTTCAAGGTCAGTCCAGTCACTTCAAGGATGCCATCCATCCATCTTGCCCTTGGTCGGCCCCTCTTCTTTTTGCCTTCCCCTTTCCCCAGCATCATTCCCTTCTCTAGGCTTTGCTGTCTCCTCATGATGTGGCATTCAAAGGACTTCCGCTTTCCCTCTAGTCTCCTTCCCTCCATTGAGCTTTAGTCGGGCTTTATTTCCTGGAGGATGGACTGGTTGGATCTTCTCGCGGTCCAAGGCACTCTCGGCACTTTCCTCCAACACCAGAGCTCAAAAGCCTCTCTCTTCCTTCGCTCGGCCTTCCCGAAGGTCCAGCTCTCACATCCGTAGGTGACTACAGGGAAGACCATGGTTTTGTATGCTTTATATAGTATAGTCTATATCTATACTTTACACTTGTTGTGTATATTTCCAGGCCTCAGGCCAATCAGATGGGTCTGTAACAAGCCATCTCCAGTTTTTAGTCCTGCGTAAGAAGCAGAGTAGACCCCACTCCCTCCTTGTCCTTCCTGATGGAGGATAGATGCCTCGTCAACGACAGACAAGAACAACCATTGTCGGATACAACAAGGAAAATAGCCAGGAATGTGAGGCAAAGCTAAAGTGTATTGAAAGACCTTGATGATCTGGTGACATCCACCTGTACCAGGTATCAAAAACAGGGATCACGACATGCCCTTGAGGCTTTGTTATGTCTGGCAGTGTTATGAGTCTAACAGCTCTGAGTGTTCAGCTGTTAATCATACGTTGACAACAGAAAAAATGATGTATTGTCGAAGGCTTTCATGGCCGGAATCACTGGGTTTTTGTAGGTTTTTCCGGGCTATATGGCCATGTTCTGCAGGCAATTTTTCTCCTGACGTTTCGCCTGCATCTATGGCAAGCATCCACAGAGGTAGTGAGGTCTGTTGGAAGTAGGAAAAATGGTTTATATATCTGTGGAATGACCAGGGTGAGACAAAGGACTTTTGTCTGCTGGGGCTAGATGTGAATGTTTCAGCTGATCACCTTGATTAGCATTCAATGGCTTGGAAGTGCCCGGGGGGAATCCCTTGTTGAGAGTGATTTTATGTGCCTCTTTGTTTCCAACCATCACCCAAGTCAAAAAAGAAGCACAATTAAAGCCTTGGCAGACCGTGCCAAAAGAATCTGCGAAGCCCTCCTCCTCCAAGAGGAACGGAACCACCTCAACTGGGCTCTCCAGGCCAAGGGAGACTCCACCTCAGACATCAGAAGAGCTGCAAGACCAAGAACAAGCCACGAGAGTCAAGACGAAGATCCACCCAGAGGAAAAGTGTTCCTGCCATACATCAAGGGAACCACTGACCGCAGAGGGAAGCTGATGAGGAAACACAACATACAAACAATCTACAGACCCACCAAGAAAATCCAACCAATGCTACGTTCAGCAAAGGACAAGAGGGATCCTCTCACCTCTGCAGGAGTCTACCATGTACCATGCAGCTGTGGACAAGTCTCCATAGGGACCACCAAAGCAGCGCACAAACACGAATCAAGGAACATGAAAGGCACTGCAAACTACTTCAACCAGAGAAGTCAGCCATAGCAGAGCACCTGATGAACCAGCCTGGACACAGCAGATTATTTGAGAACACAGACATGCTGGACCACACCAACAACCACCATGTCAGACTACACAGAGAAGCCATTGACATCCACAAGAAGCAGGTGGACAAATTTCAACAGAAAGGAGGAAACCATGAAAATGAACAAAATCTGGCTACCAGGATTAAAAAAAACTCTAAAATTACAACAGCACAACAACAGAGGGGAAACAAACAAGGACATCTAATCACCTCTCAACAAAAGATTGCTCCAGGCACTGCCAGGCCATCAAAAGCTAATCAAGGTGGTCAGTTGAAACATTCACACCTAGCTCCAGCAGACAAGAGTCCTTTGTCCCACCCTGGTCATTCCACAGATATATAAACCCCTTTTCCTAGTTCCAACAGACCTCACTACCTCTGAGGATGCTTGCCATAGATGCAGGCGAAACGTCAGGAGAGAATGCCTCTAGAACATGGCCATATAGCCTGAAAAAACCTACAACAACCCAGAAAAAATGATGCCGGTGGTAGTAGGGAAAACCTACTGTGAACTTAGTACCATTTTGGAAGGAATAGCCTGTTTGAAACAAGCTGGGGGAAGAAGCTCTGGGGGGAAGAAGAACAGGAGTAAATATCTAAACACGTTGCCTCTCTTCTTAGGTGAACGTCCTTACGTGATGCTCGTGGCACGCGTTCACCCTGGCGAGAGCAATGCCAGTTGGGTAATGAAGGGGACTCTGGAGTTTCTCCTCAGTCGAGATCCCACCGCAGACCTGCTGAGGCACTGCTTCATCTTCAAGATCATCCCCATGCTGAACCCGGATGGAGTCATCAACGGCAAGTGAGTTATTCATTGATGTATTTACTTGACTTGTATACCGCCACTCCCAATTTGGCTCGGAGCGCTTTGCAGCAGTCGATTAAAACAATACAATTAACTTTAAAACACAATAAAAACAAGAACAGACATAGTCTCGAGTTATTCACCCATCGAAAGCTTGTCGGAAAAGAAAGTTTTACAGGCTTTCCGAAAAGCAAGTAGGTCTCTCGGATAGATCGGGTTTCAACTGGCAAGGCATTCCATAAATAAGGGGCCACGATCGAGAAGGCTCTCTGCCTAGTAGAGGACAAATGGTAAGCCCGGATGTTGGGGACTGCAAGCAAATTTTGGTTATGTGGGCATTTCACAGATGATGGAAGGGATTTAAGAAAGCCGGATTTAATAATAATAATAATAATAATAATAATAATAATAATAATAATAATAATAATCCTTTATTTATACCACGCTTCCATCTCCCAAAGGACTCGGTGTGGCTTACAAGAGGCCGAGCCCAAATACATCAGTAAAAACAGCAACAACAGCAATACAGACAGTAAATAAACTCATTAACAAAGCAATAAACAGTAACAATAACACCACAACGCATTAAAAACCTATGGCAGGGCCAAAAGTAATAATTATTTTTTTAAAAAAAAAATGCTGGGCATGACCAGGTGACATATAACTAGGATAGGTGTTTGGAGAGAGATCATCATCATCATCATCATCATCACTTTATTTCTTAATTAGTTGCTCTCCACCAAGGTGCTCCGAGCGACTTACAATTTAAAACAGTTTATACACAATATAAAACATTCAATATAAAAACATTCAATATAAAAACATTCAACATAAAACATTCAACATAAAAACATTCAGTAGTGACTATGGCAAAATTTGATCCAGTTACTTAAATGCACAGCCAAACAGCCAAGTCTTGAGCACCTTTGCAAAAGGCCGCGACTCTGACATTGCTCTAATATATGGAGGCAATGAGTTCCACAGAATTGGAGCATAGATCGAAAAAGCTCTATGCCTTGTAGCTTCCAAATATGCCTCCCTAGGACCCGGTATGTAGAGGAGATTTTCCTGGGTGGATCGAGGTGACCACTGATGGAGAGAGATGGGGCGAGCAGACAATCCTAGATCATTAGTAAAGTGCGTTTAGGGACATGTTGCTTAGGGTTTCCTTATTCTGGGAAGGCACACTGGAACAACCACGTTTTCAGGCTCCTCTTAAAGACTGCCGGAGTTGGGGCATGCCTAATGTCCTTGGGGAGCGCGTTTAAGAAAGCTTAAGCGGCTGAGAGAGAAAAGGAAAGGGCCTGAGGCTGTTAGGAATTGTGGGAGTTGAAGTCCAAAACACCTGGAGGGATGAACCTTGCCCATGCTGGAACTAGAATGTTTGCAAAGTGCAACGGGTTGCTTGGAAGGGGAAAAACCCATTAGGTAGCAATTTCCAAGGCAGCCCAAGGGAATCTTCCTGCCAAATCAGGACAGTTGCAGAGTACGCACTGTTATGTAAGTCATAACGGGATCAAGTATGTGTGTGTGTTAAAGAATATTTATATTATTATTTATTTAGAGCTTTTATATCCCGTTCTTCTCTACCCCGCAGAGGGACTCAGAACGGCTAACAGCAAAAATTTCTATACTAAACAATAAGTAACATTTTAAGCAACATACATAAAACAATAGGCTAAAATACATATAAGTTAAAATACATATAAAACAATTTGCCAAGTTAAGACATTGTCCAACTCAGTCTGCATATTGTGGTTGGATAACTTTTCGTTTTTACCAGTCTCAGCCACCACTCTGCAAATCCCATAATTCATGGTCCACCTCCCCCAAACCACACCAGGAGATAAAATGGATCAAGAGGGTTATGTGTGCCAAATTTGGCCCAGGTCCTTTAGCCGTGCACGTGACAGTGGCCTGTGAAAGTGGCAGCCAATCAGAAAGCTTCCTGAAGGTCAGGAGGGAGGGGGCAGACCTGACTTCATTTGGGAGAGAGTTCCATAGCCTTATGGAAAACCTTATGCTGTAGATTATTATGTGCAGCTGGTAATGTAGGTCAGCTAGTAAGTTTGGACCACACTCTATGGGGTTTAACTGTATGGATTTTAGAGTACAGTCCAGCTTTTGCTCAGGCATTTTGCTCAACCATTTGTATTGCTCTCTCATTTGGAGGAAGAGCCCCCGGTGGCGCAGTGGGTTCAACCCCTGTGCTGGTAGGACTGAAGACCGACAGGTCGCAGGTTCAAATCCGGGGAGAGGCGGATGAGCTCCCTCTATCAGCTCCAGCTCCTCATGCGGGGACATGAGAGAAGCCTCCCACAAGGATGATAAAACATCAAAATCATCCGGGTGTCCCCTGGGCAACGTCCTTGCAGACGGCCAATTCTCTCACACCCGAAGCGACTTGAGTTTCTCAAGTCACTCCTGACACGACAAAAATAATAATAATAAAATTGGAGGAAGTTGAAGAAGCCTTATTCTGTATTGCTTACAAGGACAATGTTGTACTGTTTGGTTTGTTTGCAACACTGCAAGTTTATGTTTTTTTTTTCCTGTTCATTTTCCTCTTGCCTGTGTGCAATGTTATTGTGTCTTCTGCATTGGACCTAGAATCATAGAATGATAGAATCCTAGAGTTGGAAGAGACCTCTTGGGCCATTCAGTCCAACCCCATTCTGCCAAGAAGCAAGAAAATTGCATTCAAAGCATCCCTCAGGTGACCACCTAGCCTATGCTTAAAAGCTTCCAAAGAAGGAGCCTACACCACACTCCGGGGCAGAGAGTTCCAATGCTGAACGGCTCTCACAGTCAGGAAGTTCTTCCTCATGTTCAGGTGGAATCTCCTTTCTTGTAGTTTGAAACCATTGCTCCATTGTGTCCTAGTCTCCAGGGAAGCAGAAAACAAGCTTGCTCCCTCCTCCCTGTGGCTTCCTCTCACATATTATTAGGGCTGGGCGGTTTCGTTTCGTTAATTCGTAATTCGTTAATAATTCGTTAATTTTTTCAATTACAAAACGATAACGAAAACCATTCTGGAGCAATTATTAAAAAAAACGAATTTTCAAAAACGTTTTGTAAATGCTTCGTATTTCGATATTGTATTCGTTTCGTTATTGTTTTGAGGTCGTTTCGTTGATTATTTCCGCATGTCTGGGCCAGTTTTATGGTTTAATTAGTGAAAAAAAATTATAATATCACACCAACAGTCAACAACAGAGGGAGAGGGAAGCTTCAGAAGGTTTTGGAGGTTTTTTAGCGTATTTCGCGGTCGCGTCCGCCATTAACGAATCGATTCGTTATTGTTTCGGAAATCGATTCGTTAATTTTTTACCATTTACGAAATTTCGTAAATATCGAACTTTTTAAAAGGAAAATTTTGTAATTATTTTAAATATCGAAACAAAAAACCCCCCAAATACAAATCGATTTTAGAAACAAATTTTTCCATTGTTACCCACTTACATATTTATACATGGCTATCATATCTCCTCTCAGCCTTCTCTTCTTCAGGCTAAACATGCCCAGCTCCTTAAGCCGCTCCTCATAGGGCTTGTTCTCCAGACCCTTGATCATTTTAGTCGCCCGCCTCTGGACACATTCCAGCTTGTCAATATCTCTCTTGAATTGTGGTGCCCAGAATTGGACACAATATTCCAGGTGTGGTCTAACCAAAGCAGAATAGAGGGGTAGCATTACTTCCTTAGATCTAGACACTATGCTCCTATTGATGCAGGCCAAAATCCCATTGGCTTTTTTTGCCGCCACATCACATTGTTGGCTCATGTTTAACTTGTTGTCCACGAGGACTCCAAGATCTTTTTCACACGTACTGCTCTCGAGCCAGGCATTGTCCCCCATTCTGTATCTTTGCATTTCATTTTTTTCTGCCAAAGTGGAGTATCTTGCATTTGTCACTGTTGAACTTCATTTTGTTAGTTTTGGCCCATCTCTCTAATCTGTCAAGATCGTTTTGAATCCTGCTCCTGTCCTCTGGACTATTGGCTATCCCTCCCAATTTGGTGTCGTCTGTAAACTTGATGATCATGCCTTCTAGCCCTTCATCTAAGTCATTAATAAAGATGCTTCTAGAACATGGCCATATAGCCCGAAACCCGCTTGGGCACAACACGTACAATGAAATCTCCACTTGTAAATGTTTCTTCTTCCACCTGTTTGGTTCGGTGGCTATCTTAAGAACATGTTTCTTGGGCCTTATCCAGTTCTACCAGAACATTGGATGCCCTGTCCCTGTGCATCTCCACTTTGGGAGAGCTGGTGAGTCAGAGAGGGACGCTTGCCATGGAATCTGGATTATGGAATGTCTCCCTTGAGAATAAAGCTTCTTTCTTTCAGTTGGACAGAACTAATTAAGAAATAGATTGCTACAAAGCAGACATTACTCACAAATTAATCCATCCATCTTGCCTCATTGACGGAATGAATAGCAAAAAATTAGGATGAGCTGAACGTACTTCTGAACTATTCAAAAAATGCAGCTGCTGGTGATGAACTTCCTAGGTTCTTCTTATATCTGGGGTTGCACCACTTCTGATCAAAAGGTATAAGGCAAAATGCAAGATTAGAAATACCTGAAGAGCTATAAGCAAGGTGTGTGGGGACTGGGGGTTATTATTTTAGTTTCCTGGCAGAGAACCATTGGGATGTTTCTACCAGGCCTGCTGCCCTTTGTAGAGCCCTGATCTAAAAACAAAGTGTTGTGTTTTATATGTCTCCTTTTATTCTGTTGACCTGAAGTCCCACGTGGCTATATACTTTGACATTATTCATATAACTGAACAGGAATCAGTGGTATACTTCTATCCCAGCGTTTCTTAACCTGGGGGGGGGGGGGGTGAGGGAGTGTGAGTCGCAGGCATGTAGCCGGGGGGGGGGGGGGGCTTGGGGGGCTTCAGCCCCCCCCCCGAAATTCTCATGGTGGTTCGCGAGAAGGCCTTACTGGTGCATTATTTAAACTGTTATGTTTATTCATATCATGA